TTCCCGCTTATCCCCACTAGGAAGTCTCATTCCAAAATTTCTACAGAAGCCCTGGATCAATGGCTCTCCAAATTTGTTCCCATAGTCTGATGCACCATTACTAGAATCTGTAAGAATTTGCAAAGGTGATGCCAAATTCGATGGATAAGTAAAGGATGGATCTTCCCATGGAGCATAAAACCCTGATGTGTTGAGATTTCCAACACAATAACCAGCTGTGGCTGCTTGGAGCCTTGGACAAAGGAACCCCTTCCTGTTGCATGTGTATCCCTAATTCGACCTCCTGCACCTGTCTCTGCCCCAGGATAAGGTGCCACTGCACATGGAAAATTATGTGTTTCAGCTGTAAATAAGATGTCTAACTCACGTGTTGTCATGTTTAACGGACATGCTGAACCAGGCTGAAGTGGTCGCAACTGCTTTACTTGGAAACCCCTTATTGCACTTGACTTATCCTTAAAGCCAATAACTGAGTTATTCGGATTTGCCTGTAAAGTACTTTTCACAATTTGCATAAGAGTCCTATTCATAAGTTGTCCATCAATGAAAATATTTCCAGTAAAAAACCAATGCCTGCTATGCTCACTGTTGGACTCCGCAATATCAAACAATTCCACATTTGTTGGATTTCGTTTAATATCTTCTCTGAAAAGTTTGGTGTAGTATTCTAGATCATGGTCATCAAAGGCAAAACCCATCTCCAGATTTATCTCTTCTAATGCTTTTTGTCCTCTCTCCATGAGAGGTATATATCGAATTTCCTCTGGAACTACACTGGTCTCAAATGATGTTAGCTTCTGAGTATAAACACATTCAGTCATCCTATCATGTACCATGGATGCAAATTCATTGATTTGATAATCTTGTAATTCAGATGTGGTATACAACAAGTACCTCCTTGACCGCTCCAAACGGTTCACTTCTGTCAAACCACAGGCTTGGCAAATCGCCACAGCATTAGCAGACCAAGCTGTGGTAAATGACAATCTGGGGCCAACCTCTATTATGACTTTCCTCAAACCCTCCTTCCTCTTCTTCTCAAGAAAGCTCTCGGTTCCCAGATTCTCAGGCTCAAATGTTTCTTGAAGAAGCCATTTAAGGACAGAAAGCTTTCTACTTGACAGTTGGGAACCAAGGCCAATATTATAACATTGCTCTGTTTGTAGGTCCACGATCTCATTAGAGAGTTTTGCTTGAGCTTCCTTTAGAATCTGAGCATCTACTCTTTCTTGAATAAAAAGGACTCGGTACAAATGAAAAACTTCCAAGGCAGGCTTCTCAACCAAACCAGCTTGCTCTTCTATTGAACTGCTCACACCCCCAGAAACCACAGCTTTAGGATTTTCGTGAGCTTGACACCCTAAAAGAAGAGCTTTTCGAGTTGAACCAAGAACCCGATTCCTATTCCAAAGCGTACCCCAAAGTAAATGACTTCTCTGTCTTAGAGGCTTCTTCACCAAAAACAAACTCTGCCTGCAGGTACCCTGAAACCAAAATCACCAAAACACAAACCCCATTAACACAATTGCATTTCATTTTCCAAATTAAACATACTGCACCAATTAGTCCGTGAGAAACTGAAAACTAAAACAAGCCCATGCAAAAGGTACAGACTTAAAAGGCATCAAAATACGTTACTATAGAAGCAAAGGGGAAAAAAAAAACACGCATACAATTGCAATTCATAAGCCAAATCCCAAATTAAACATGCTTCATCAACTGGTGAATGAGAAGATGAAAATAAAAAATAATCCCATATCAAAGCTGCAAACTTTATCAAAATATTTTACTATAGCAGTAAAGGAGGGTAAACTCAGAAAAAAATAATGTAATATATGATGCTAATTCAATCACAGGGATAAAAATCAAACCTGCAGGAATTCAGACACCCCAAATTCGCTGGCAGTTGCCATGTCCTCAATCAAGTGTTTCAAAGCTCTTAAATATGAAGAATAAAAAGAAAAAAAAAAACTTTAAGAAGTGAGCACAATGAGATATATATGTATGATGTGAATGAAGTAGAAGTGAAGAAGACCAATATAAAAAGAAAAGAAAAGAAAAGAAAAAAAGCGTGATAGTACCGTGAGATAGAAATAGGGTTTTCGGGTGGCACAGAACAAAACCGTACCCCCAGTAACCACTCTTTCCCTGGCAATAAAGTGTACACCTTTGCGTTACCGCTATTTTATTTGCTCAATGTCTATCAGCAATGTCCCTTTCCGCTGATGATGCTCTCTGACTTTTCTTGACGACGAATTTGAATCAGATTCTTTAATAATAATAAGCAATACACCTTTTTGTTTTGGTGTTTGATTGTGGCTCCGGATTTTTGGGGTTATGTCATCCTCAGAGCAATCCCAGTTCGTTGAGATGCATGTGGCTCCGGATTTTCAGCCTTCACGACTTGGTTGGTGTAGCGCCTGCAGTGCTGATTTTGAAGACAAACCAATAGTCAGACAGATGCATGGCTTTCACCAACCATAAGGCTCTATAAAAGCAGTATTCGGGTAAAGAATTAGGGAAGTACAGATTCAAATTTTGCTTTTCCAAATACTTTTCTCAGCTAAAAGCCATGATGCATTATTTCATTATACAATAATCATGAAAAAGCATCATGGGTGGAAAACTATCTAAATAGATAGAGTACATACAACATTGAACCAGTAAATATCAAATCAAACAACAAACAAATAGTGAGGGAAAAAAGAACAACACGATTTACATTCATATGCAGCAGTGTGTTTCTTGCAAAATGAAATGTGACACAACACAGTATGCAGGTGTGAGGTAGGTTCACGATTTTGTATACACATAAGTTGTATGTTTTGAAAATTGTTCCACTTCACATCAGGAAAGAAATGCATTGATTTCGCTCATCAAATCGAAAACGAAAACGATGGAATTCAGAGAAGGAAATTACGGTGCAGAGAATCGAAAATTGAAAGCGTTGAGAAAAAGAGAGAGAAGATACCGTGACCAGAACTGCGAAGGAGTGTGGTTTCCACAGACACGCCTGAAGAGGAAGAAATTGGAACTGCAATGGAGCTGGCGAAGAAGAAAACCAGAGAAATTGCTACTTGACCTTTTGAGACTTTTACTCCGCAGACACTATAATGGCTATTCAGTATTCAGTATGGGTTTGAACGCTTACTCGTAGAATAAAAAAAAGTTAGGTTGTTTATTGGATTGGGATCAAGGGTTTAGGGTTTCAAATGATTGGATTGGATTGTGATTTCCAATATTTTAATGTATTATTCTTGTAAAAAAAAAATATATTGATATTTATTTGGGATAAGATATTGTAACAACCAACTAGTGTTACTATTAATATTACTATCAATCAATTTCACCGTTAGATCGATTATGTTGATCCAACGATTATATTTATTTCTATCTTTGTATGGTTTGATTCCCCATATTTAATACTTTATATTTATTTTCACTTTTGAAAATAAATATAACCGTTGGATCAACATAACGATCTAACGATGAAATTGATTGGTAGTAATATTATTTGGTTGTTATAATATCTTTTCTCATTTAATTATAATTTTAAATGATTGAAACAAAACAGTTAATATTCGATTAGAATTTTAAAAAATTAAGATTGAATGCTTATCTATACAGTAAAAAGAACTAATATTCAAAAGAATGACCATTTAAAAAAGATTTTGAAATTTTTTATTCTCTTTTAATTAAATATTGCAAAAGCATAATTAAAATATTTCCATTGTTAATAACATAATAAAATTTATTTAACTTCTTACCTACTAAATATATTTGTATAAGCAGATAAGATAATCAAATTTGAGTAAATGATTATTTTATCTTTGCTACTTATAATTGACTACTATAATTATTCAAGAATTAATTAATGGGAAAAAATTATTTTACATATAAAATGTTAATTAAAGAGGACTAAAAAATTTCTGAAGTAAAAACAAATGATATATAATGAAAAAAATACATACGATTATAGAAAAAAAAGAAGGTACGTGTTGATATTATTTTATTACCTAGAATAATGACGCGTAAATTTCACATAAAAATCAAAAGATATGATTTAGATCAAGCTATTCTAACTTCTAAGTAACTCGTCAGTTATTGTAACCAAAAAAAAATAAAAAAATAACTCATCAATAACGATTTTTTTTAATAAACTCAAAACAATTTGATAATAAGATTAAACCTTAAAAAAAGAAAGAAAATCATTTAAGACTTAGTAACATGCTGCAACGCTCTTGTTCAGTTAATCATCACGCAGCCAACTCTTCTAAAAATTTAAATCATTAGAGGAGCCCTATGAATAATTTTAACATATCTCTTTCTTGAACTTTTGTTAATGATATTATTTTCTACCATTTTGTTTCTTGTTGGTTGGGGCTAGAGGTGGCAAAGTGGGCGGCCCGCTCCACCCCGCCCCACTCCGCCATCAACCTGTCAAAAAATAAGTCAGCCCGCCTCGCCCCGCTTTTGAAAGTGGGTTGAAAAACTCAGTTCGCTCCGCTCTGTTTGACGGGTTGGCTTGCCAGTCCGAGCCTATTTTACACTGATCCGTCTCGGCCCGTCTATGCCCGCCATCAACCAGTCAAAAAATGAGCCCGTCCCACCCTACCCCACTTTTGAGATGAGTTGAAAAACTCAGCCCGCTCCGTCCTATTTGGCGGGTTGGCCCGTCGAGCCGAGCCCGTTTTGTCGGCTCTAATTGAGGCCGGTTTGTCATATGGGCCAACAGTTGACATGCTTGTATATTATGGGCTTACAAAACCAATTGCCGAAGAATATTTTTTTTTAATATTTCTTTAACGGTCAAGAAATTGAACAGAAAATATCCTCTCACTAATATATAAAATTAAAAATAAAAAAGTTCCATACTTATCTATGTTATTAACTAGTTAGAACTTAGCAATCCAAATTCAAACAAATATAAGGGGAACATTATGTTAAAAGATATGGTTCAGCTGAAAATATAGCATTGAGGTAGACATTAGTAGCTCTCATCATGCCATGATTTCCACACCATCACTCTTACAATCATCAGTTTCTATTGCTCTCCTCTGTACAGTCTTATAAGTGTACCTTTTTGCCAAGAATAGATAGACACACAAATTTAAAGCATTTATGACTGCAAGCATCCAATAAAACCTATCCAAACGACTTGAATTTGTATCCTTACCAATCCAACTTTTGCCATTATGGCCTGTGACATTATCCACAATGATGATTAGAAAGCTGCTTAAGAAGCTTCCCACCCCAATAACACTGAGATATAAAGCCATTCCCAAGCTTCTCATTGAGTCAGGAACTTGGTCATAGAAATACTCTTGCAAACCAACTAGAGAAAATGAATCTCCAAAGCCAAGAATCAAGTACTGGGGTATCAACCAGAACACACTCATAGTCTTTGGCACTGTTTCATGTGCAGCCATTCTTAGTCTCTTTGCTTCTACTAAGGCTGCAACAACCATAACCATGACTGAGAGTGTCAAGCCAATGCCAATCCTCTGAAGGATGCTGATGCCTCTTTCATTACCAGTGACTTTCCTCAGAATTGGAACAATAATCTTGTCGTATATGGGGACAGATATTAAGGTACCAATAGCTGCAGCAGAGACAATGGAAGCTGGTGGGATGCTGAAACTGTTGCTTATCTTTAAGTTCATAGAAGCTGCTTGTTTGACAAAGAGTGTTGAGCCTTGTGCTACACATACTCCAGTTGTTAATGAAGTTAGCCATATGGGAACTATATTCAAAATAAGCTTTGTCTCCTCCACTCTTGTCACTGTTGCTAATCTCCACGGATTGTCTTTCTGCTCAATATATTTCTCTTCAATAATTGCAGCCTTGTCAAGAAACCTATACATTCAATTGATGAGTATTAATTTCAATGACTATTAGTAGGTTCTGATCTGTCCTTGGTAAATTAACAATCATTCAGTATATATATGGGTAAGATAATTTTATACACGTGTAAATTACACTCTTAATTTTAGTCATTGATCCTATTTATATCTAGTGACTCTAATTGACTAGATATGTGACATGTTACATGCAAGCGGATCAAAGGCTAAAATTGTTTGTAAGACTTCTTATTTTTATACTAGTGTAAATTGATCCTGTCATATATATATATATATATATATATATATATATATATAGGGTTTTGCATTTGTCATGTTGCATGACAAATGCAAAATTTCTTACACATACATCGATATTTGTGCTGTACTTTTTTTCTTTTTCTTTTTATTTTAAACATGGTGGATTCTACACTTATTGTCTCTATAACATGACAAGAGAATTTTCCTACAACATGATACTTGTTTTTCCCATTTATATATATATATAGTTATAGTTATTCCATTGATTCTAATAATATAAAGGTATTAGTGTCAATCTGACAAGGTTCATGTGTGATACCTGAGCCTACTACTATGGCTTAGAAGTCTTCCTTGGGACATCTCTGACTTTGGGACTTCATATAATAGAGCAGGATTTGAAGGACAGGTTAAATTCCTTTTCCTAATGGCTGCAATTAGTACCTGAAAAATTGGTGTTAAAGGGTTTCCTTCTGGCTTCCTGTATCTATAAAAAGGCTTCCCCACATAGAAAGCCATGATAGTGAGAGCCATAAGAATAGTGAGGATAAGACCAGCAGCTCCCCAATTGACAAAGTCTTGAACATAAACAACCACTGTTGCACCAAGCAGCAATGCAAAGCAAAGTGCAAAGTTCCACCAGTTGAAGAAAGACATCTTCTTCTTCCTTTCTTCCAGGTGATCATCATCAAATTGATCAGCTCCAAAGCTTTGCAAGCATGGTTTGTATCCTCCAGTACCCAAGGAGATGCAGTAAAGGGCAAGGAAGAAAACCACTTCATGAACCTTCCTAGGCCGTTGACATATGATCTTAGTGTTGCATGGCTTTAGACTTGGGATGAATTGAGACATAGTCAACAGGATTAGCCCCTGAATTTGACAACTAGAAATGAGACTAATGTGTTTCATGTCAACATTATATCAGTGCTTGCATTTGATGCATAAAAAAAAATGACAAACTCAGGTTATATAACCTTACCCTTATAATCTTTTTGCAAATAAAATATTAATAATAAAACTTTGCTTTATTCTGTGTTCATATATCACCAATAGACCCATCGAAAATAGTGACATTTTTTTTTTTTTTATAAATGACGGATCCTACCATATGTGTGTCTACAACATGACAGATCTTCTCTTATGCAACATAAGATTAGATGTACAAAAAAAAATATGCAATACATTTATTTAAAAAAAGAAAAAGAACAATTACCATGAGGTATACGAGGGAAGAAACCAGGACCATAGGAAATCGACCAGTGTGAGCATCAGCAATAAATGCCCCGATGAGAGGCATCAGGGTTGTTGTTCCTGTCCAGTAGTTAACATTTTTTGCCGCTGTTTGGAGGTCTTCATGAATAACTTTAGTAAGGTACGATATAAGATTAGCGCCTATCCCAAAGTAGCTTACCCTTTCACTAAATTCAATTGCTGCTCCAATTTGAAACACAATCACCAAGTTATGTTCATATTAATCAAACACATTTATTACACAATTTTATGACTACCACCGAGTAACAATAAATAGAAGACAAGTTTCCTAAAATTATGCAGAGGATCAGGCTGAAAGGAGGGAAACTTTAATTTTCTCTAGTTTTGGAATGCAACCTTTTTTTTTTTTTTTGAGATAATCAAATGCAACTTCTTCTTTTTTTCTAGGATGTCCCACTCATTTTGGATAAGACTAATTCCTTTCGTGACATAAAGTGTGAATATTTTTATCACTGATCCAAGTTATTTTACCTAGGAATCAAATCTGAGACTTTTCAATCTGTTAGAGAATAATATAAAAAATATTAAAAATATCATCACCTAACATCTTAATATTTTGGTTTGAAGTGACGTTTATTAATGTTTTTATATTATTCTCTAACATATTACTTGATAGTTTTTTTTAATACTCTAACACAATCCTAACCAATCCACTCCTTGAGCACAGTCTGCTCACCAAGCGTGGCACCTCTCAGGGTTACTTTTACTTTGAAGCTCATTTGGCAGTTTCTTCTTCCTACAGTGACAATCTATGTTAACACCCTTTTACTAAAAACTAGTTGCTACAAAATGGTCGTGTGTCAGTTGGTGATGAGAGGTGAACAGTAAAAAAGAAAGGCTTCGATTTGATCTTCACATGTTATCTTTGGGAAGGGTTTAAAATCTTTATTCTTGACTTGTCCCATTTCCGGATTAGTCTCATAACTGACTCAAAGAATCGAAGTTTGTGGGAATACATGGACAGCCTACTCGCCTCAAACGAATAATTAGGATATATTTCAAAAAAAAAAATGATTTGGGCAGCATATGGGTAGCCAACAATAATCTAAATCATCTAAAAGGAGCTACTTGTTATTTGACATGCTTGAACACATTTTAATAATTTATGGTGAGAATTAATGAAGGTTAAAAATGGAGTATGAACCATTCTTGAAAGAAAATGTTTTTTTTTTTAGTTGCAAACTCGAAATAAAATGATGATAAACAAAACTCATGTAAACAGGAATCTTACTGATGACAAAAAGAGAAGCTTTCCATACACCAGTGGAAGCACGGAGAGGAACTCTGCCTTTATAATCCACAGAAGCATCATGTACCCATTTCTCTTCTTCACTTTCTTCTCTTCTACCTCGGTTTCTCTTCTCCATTTCTTGCTCCATCTTTACAAATGGAAGATGCAGTTAAAAGTGTCCTCACTAGGATGGTATGTTATATAGACAAAAGAAAAAGGAAGGTCATGTCTATGGTTGGTGGCCTCATTAGTGACATTTGAGAGGTTTGTAGTAAAATACTTTGGCTTGGTTTATCTTCTCATTATTACAATAGATTCCATTGTCTCTCTCATTATTAAATGCACCATATGTTCTTTCTCTAAATTGAATCAGATTCTTATGATAAATTTTAAAGCACATCTACTCTTGTACCATATATGGTCTAGATCATTTAATACATATAGTTCTCAAGTCAAAATCAGATACCTCATGTTTATCAAGCAATCGCTGTCATTAATCGTTACAAGAAAAGAAACAATTTTACTGGGTAAACAAGAAAAGGAAAAAAGTTTTCTTTTTTGCTTTCAAACAAGACTGAATCTATATAGACTCGTATTTCCCCCATAATGGTTAAGGTCTGCATATATCATAATAGAAGAAATAATAAAATTTTTCCCATATCAGTAACTCCAATAGATAATAGTAATTACCCACATAGGAGAATGATTTAAAAAGTGGATCGGATTAGCTGATTGTCCACCAGCATGTTTCTGAACGAATTACCTCTACAGAATAGAAGTGGCAAAATAATAATAACGGGAAAGGTTATACTTACAACTTATTTTTCTTTACAACCTTTTACAACTAATATCTTAACCGTTGATTTCCGTCAATCAACGGTTAAGATTTTCGCAAATAAAATTTATTAATTCGTAATAAATCTTAACCGTTGATTGGCGGAATCAACGATTAAGATATTGGTTATAAGAGATTGTAAAGGAAAATAGGTTGTAAGTATAACCTTTCCATAATAATAATAACAATAATACAAAATAAAAAATAAAAATAGGACAAGACTAAATTTAACGTTAAACCACCGAATAGTTATGAGTTCGATTGTAACACCCCGTTCTAGAACCGGTTTGTTAACATCGCATTATGATATTAAGCGCAGTTACAATCACATGGGTTCAATTAAAATCCGGATAAATTTTTCATTTTAAAACGTACCGAACTTATAATACCCAATTTCGTGATCATAACCATATTACCTTGCGGAAACAGATAAATTAAGCTTAACATCATGTTCATTTCCCATTTTTAAACCATTAATTTACTTCGTATTTAGTTCACATCTTCTACTGTATTGTAGGTTTCTTCATTAGCTACCTGTGGCTTCAAACCGTGCTCAAATCGGAGCACTGTAGCCCAAGTTAGGACCATTTGAAGCAACACAAGAGAGTGTTGGTCACAGGCCCAGCGCGCTTCAGCGCGCTACCGGGCGCTCAAGCGCGCGCTATCGGGCGCTAAAGCCTCCATCTGGGCGCTTAAGCGCACGGAGGCAGTAAGCATCAGACATTCCAGTGTGGATGGGCGCTTAAGCGCGCAACAGGGCGCTCAGGCGCGCAATCCTGGGCGCTCAAGCTCCCACGGGGACGTTTTAGCGCGCAGAGACAGAAGCATCTCCTCCTTCAGTGGCGAAGGGCGCTTAAGCGCGGACCAGGGCGCTCAAGCGCGCAACCCTGGGCGCTTAAGCCCCACCCTGGGCGCTAAAACACGAGGGGGCAGTAAGCCACCCAACTTTCTGCAGCAAAGGGCGCTTAAGCGCACGCCAGGGCGCTCAAGCGCGCAATCCTGGGCGCTTAAGCCCCCACTTGGGCGCTCCAGCGCGAGGAGGCAGAATGCATTGGCACTCGCAGGGGCAGCAGGGCGCTTGGGCGCGCTCCTGGGCGCTTAAGCGCGCTGCCAGGGAATTCCAATTCCCACATTTCTCAAGTCCAAGCCTAGGGGAAAATGCATCCCCATTACAAACCCTAATTGTCCATGCCCCAAAACTAAATCCTAGCACTCATCCGACCTCTCCTCATGAGATTTAGCTAGAATTTGGGCAGCATGACCTTTGTTTTCTCATCGTTTACCAGTTTAAACAAAAGGGTACCTAATTGATTTTCAGCCCAACCAATTCAACAACTCAATACATAACAAGCATGCATATATTGAATTTCAAGTAGGCATCATTTACATTACATATCATTTACAAATCATAGAACTTAGCTTACAAAACACTATGATCATTCCCTTGGCTCCCATCAACAAAAGGTGTAACCAAAGGCATGAGCATAGGCTAAGTTCATCCAATGAATCAAGATATACAAATGACCATGGGCTTTCAAAATAAAATCCTATACATGTCAACTACAAAAGGCATGCATAAACTCAAAAGAAATGCCACATTTCATGCATAATCCAGATATGGCCACTTGCCACCAGAGGCTCCTGCAGCATCCTTACCTGAAAGGGGGTCCCCACAACACGGGGTGAGATATACGAATATATCCAGTAAACCAGGGGTCCTTGGAGCATCTCTCCACCCCACAGTTCCATATCAGTGTAATAGCGATAACAATAATAATGCAGTAAATACATATCTATGCAAAGTGCAATACATCTCCAGGAGAAATCCCTCGAGCTCTCAAGCTGTCCTAAGGAAACTCAGATGCAAATAGTCCTACTGGCCAGCTAACTACCATGTATGATTTACGCATCGTCATGCAACATACCCACATAGGGAAACACCATCCTATGCCACACCAAATGCATACACATACGTATAACAAAGCATTACACTATTTTATTGCATTTATATACACAATCACAACCTCTACCCTTTCAGGGCTTGGTAGAACAGTCAAGGGAATTACACCCAAGGTCCGAAGGCTTACCTCAATGCTTCAGTCAACCTTTGTTCTTCACCAACAGTTTCAGCAATCAACTTTTACAAACATACACCTACACATGGTGTAATGCAATCAACACATTGCATCCAAGAGTATTTCACAATCAACCATCAATTACTCAATTCAAAGCACAACACAAGTATGAGCTTACCAATTCCAATGAGCTATTCAAGCTCCATAGCTTGCTCCAATGGTTGATCACTCACGGTTGGTCCAAATGTCTCAATCCTAGACATCACAAGGATCCAATCAATCATTCAACTCACTAATTGTTCAACATGCTAGAATACTAACCAATCCAAGCATGAATTTTCCAATATTATGAACAATTATCAAATGACTATCTAGGCTCATTTCCACCGATTAAATGACATTCCTAGCATTTTCCATAACATGCTCTAAGCTCCATTCTTCCTAGAACATAGCTAATTCAACTACATTTCATAAAAATCCCAATTTACTATTCACAAACCCTAACTCATGCAAATTTCAAGGAATCATGAGGTTCAAGGGTTAGAATCTTACCACCAATGGTCACACAACCAAGGATTGATGGCTCCTCAAGCTTCAATGGAGGTAGAAACTCTCAAAACCCCAATTTTCACCAAAGGGCCGAATTTTTGAGAGGTAATATCTCTCTCCACAATGCTCCCCACTCAAAACAAAGCTAGGATTATGAAAGAGGGCGAGATTCTAAGCGATTTAGGCTTTTGAATCATCCAAAACCATCAAGGTTTGATCTCTCTCTCTCTCTTCCTCCCTTCCTTCCTCTTCTTTCTCCTTCTTCTTCTCCTTCTCTTTGTTTTCTGGCGACGGGACTTGGGGGAAATGGGGGTCATTTGGTAGCTTAAGTCACTTAACATAGGTTAAGTGGCTTTAAGCGGGTATTGGTTCGTCTATCTATTCAACTCCAATAATTACCAAACTTTACCCAAAAGTCTGGAATATTATTCTAGGGATGTTACTATTTTTATTTTTATATTTTGGGTACTTTTGCCAGTACCCATTTATACCCCTTAATTTTCACTGAGTACACTTTTTAACTCCAAAGTGACTCAGATTCATTTAATTAAGCCTTATACTTAATTTCACTCACTAAAACATGTTTAATTAATTAATTACACTTGATTTACTAATTAATTAAGATAGGCTATTATATCGATCATCAGTATTTCTGTTTTCTTTTTTTTTGGTAAACAAAGTATTTCTGTTTTCAAATAAAAATAAAAATTAAGTTAACATCAGCACCAAAAAATATATATATATACATTATTTATGCTTCAAGTCAAAGTGATTTTACTGTTGGGTATGGCTCATACTTCGCATGCTGACGAGGACCCTAGTTGTCGGGGTTAGCAGAAAGACAACTGGGTATGACTCATTTTTCACATGCTGATGAGGGTCCGTAGAGGCTAGGTACTGTAATGAGCCTCTGATTTATTGTAATTTTCTTAGTAATTTGGGCTTGGGCCCATGAATAGCTGCTGTTAGGATTTTCTAATCCTATTTATATTTTTCTTGTAAACTGAGTGATTTGTAATAAGTGGCGTTAAGGTGAATATAATACACTGAGTGACTTGTAACGAGTAGCGGTAAGGTGAATATAGTACAGACAAGCTGGACGTAGCCTAAATTGGATGAACCAAAATAAATCACTGTGTTTATTCTCTCTCTTTTTCTCTTTTTCTTTATTCGATTTGTGTGATTGTCAATTTCTAACTATTACATGAGTGTGTTAGATATATAATATGTAAAATTATTAATATGACTTTTACTTAAAAAATTAAGTTTTTGAATTGAATTAACACTTTACGATAATTAATAATTACATTTGTTTAATTTCCTCAACTAAAGAAGTAACTATAGTTCAAATATAACATTACAATAACTATATTTTAAAATTTTTATAGTGCAAATAAACTATTCCCAGCTTTACCCAAAAAAATCACACCTTGTTAGAAGGGAATAAAACAAATATTTCAATCATGAAAGCCTGGAAGAGATATGCAAAATTTTTGCTGGTGCATGGTGGAAACAACTGTCGAATATGAAAGACATAAAAAATATATGTTCGCCTTTCTCTACAAATTAAACTTTACTTTTGTCAAGAACCTTATTCTGCATGAAGTGAATAGAAAGAGACTAATTTTTTTTCATAAAAAACCTACGCATCTTGACCCCTTTTTCATCTTTTGAAACACAACATCTCTTTTCCC